TAGATCATTAAAGTAGTGATCTAAACACTCTTATATTAGTTTACGGAGGGAGTATTAAACACAGTGCGTGTTCGTGCCTACCGCCGAGCACATTGACGGTAGGGGTGTATATGCTACCGTCATTCTGTTTGGTTGTAGGAATGTTTCCTACCGTCAAGGTCCCTGGCGGTAGCCTGTTACATCCTACCGTCATGTACTCTGACGGTAGCAAAACGGTCAGATCTCGAAATTTTTCCAAACTAGGATCAGATCTCGAATAGAGATCAGAAAAAGGTCAAAACATGAAATTTTGCCTCCAGTGGTGCGTATGTTACTCCAGAAATCAGAATTTGAAGGAGAAACACTACAAATCAGGAGGTGCTGCACGCAAAGTGGGCACGGGATGCCCCTCACTAGCCAGACAGGATGTAGGTTGACTCACCGAGCAACACCCCGATTTGCTCCGTCTTCGTAGACAAGCCATTGACCGCGATTTGCCCACTCCTTTCTGCCTGAGAAAATCGTACCACTGGCAAAAGCTGCTTTGACCGCCAGATTGCTGCGTGCTCGGCCTCGCGGGGAGACCAAAAGCAGTCGCGGCTTCAAAAGCAGCGATCCACGGAGATTCCATGCTCTCCAGTTTATCATTTGACCCGGCGTCCATACGAAGCTAAATTTCATGTTTTGATCCTTTTTTCAGATCTATTTAAGATTTGACCCTTTTGCTACCGTCAGGGACCATGGCGGTAGGGTATAACAGCCTACCGCCAAGGACCCTGACAGTAAGATCTCGAATAAGTTTCGGAAAAGGGTCAAAACATGAAATTTTGCCCCCATATGGCCTGCCTCCAATTAAGCAGAGTATACAGATAGTCAGGTGTGAGGTTAGAGATGCCAAGTTAACTTATTAGTTTTGACTAGTCGCTGGAAGGTTAATTTTTTTGGTGTAGCCTGTGTACTCAAGTTAGAACCTTTTAGCAGTATGAATTAAACTAGAACTATGAATTAAACTAGTACTCATGTGGAGTATGAAAATTCATGTGGTGCTCCTTCTTATCAAGAAGATATAATATAGACAAATAAATCATCATGTGTTTCACAGAAAGGAAGGAAAATTAGTTCGGCGTGTCTTGCTCTGGAGAGACAGAGATGACGGCCGTCCACATCCGACTGGATGACTTGAGCACGAAGCGTCAAGAAAAGCAGCCTGCCCGTGCGTGCATAATGCGTTTGATTTGACACTATTTTCATTCATTCATTACGACCCGGCCTCCATGTCCCCCTCTTTCCGCGTCTCATCGCGATCTTCCTCGAAGAAGCAAGAAAAGGAGCGGTACGCGTCGCAGTGCAGTCTTGCTTGAAAGAATACACCTTCGACCCTTGCCATTTTGTCACCTACGCATTTCTAATTGGAGATTGAATTGACCATGAAATGGTCCATGATCAAATGACTACTACTACCAAAGAAACAGAGGAGAAGGCAGAAGCAAAGCAGAATCTTCAGCTACACAAACATACTTTAGATTCTTATTAAGGCACGATCTTGGCATGATTAGCTTACAAGTTTGTAAATATACCACCGAATCGGCTTCTGATTAGAATAATACGCAAAAGGCCACACCCGTATCAGACAATCAAATCAAATCATCTCGTGTGTGCGTGCGTGCGTGCAGCGCACCGCGCGTCCTCTACAATCTGTCGGGCTTAAACTGGACACCATGTTCAGATCTCCAGACAATTCACGCGGCTGAAAATCTTTCAGTTCGTCCGGACGATCCCTGCGGACCGCCTGCCTTTTCATTCTTCTTTGCCGTTGATGGATGGAAAAAAATTACCATTGTTTCACTTTCCAGGACACAAGCGTGCAAGAAAATGTTGCTTGCTGAAGAAAATTGTGCGTAGATTTGCTTTCAGTTTACCTTTTCCAAACGGTATCAGAAGTACAGTATAATAACACGCACCAAGGATCAGTTTTCAGTTCTCTTGGACGCCAAGAGAGTGTTGTGGTTCTGGCGTGGCAGGCACCCTGCAAATTTGCGAGATACAATTATAATAATAACAAATGCTGCAAGAGACCTGAATCGTGTCTAAGAAGATATACGCTCATCGACCTCGTGCCGATGATGTTTTTTAATGCATGCACCAGATAGACTAGACTGCACGATTAGCTTTACAAGATTGTGTTTTCGCAAAACAAAACTTACAAAATAGGGCATAGTTTAAGCTTTTTATGGCAATGAGAAAGCGTAGAGTTACCCAGTGCTCGTGATTTTCTACTTGTGTGTCTTTCATGTAAGACAATTTATATTGAGCTAGACTAGAATGTTGCTAAGACTTGTTTGAGCTATTTATATTATTCTTTTACCAAATATTGTATGACACCTGGATTATATAGGTTTATTTTTGAAGTGTGCACAACCTCTATTTTATTTTTGGCTACGCCAGTGCAAATAGGGGTCTTGGAAACATATCGTAGTGTGGTGGTGACGCTCCCTTCCGCCACTTAGAAGGAGCCAGGGGACATCACACAACCTTCTTCTAGCCAACATAGGGGGAGGGCACCATCATCTTGCCATCGATGAGCGTCAACAAGCACCACCAACTTGATCATCTCCACTTTCGCATGTTGCCTCGAGCAAACCGACAAGCACATGAAACGGGTCGAATGGCTACTTCGCGAAGAAACAAGGATGTATCTACAATAAATGGTCTTGGCCTGGTCCCTCCCATGTTGTGGATCCAGTTGTGGGCTACATAGAAGTCAAAGCGGTCCAAGATATGCCACAGTCGTGCAATACCTTACACAAAAGGGCGGAGTGGCCTTAACAAACCACTTAAAATCTCTATGTGACCGTATTTTAGGGTAAGTTGAAGTGATACACGAGCTCAAGTTTAGTGACTTGTGTGTGTGCTATTTACTCTTATGTTCTTGTGTCATTATTAAGTCCATGCTGATTTTATGATGAAAATACATTTAAATTTGATTATCATTTGAGAGTCTTATTCGGCCATTGTGGTGTGACTCTCCCCCTACGAGACAGAAAAGACGATTTGGTTGCCAAATTCTTGATCTTCCAAAGGGCAAATAATGAGCTTGATCCTTGGACACCCTCCTACCAATGATGAAGGTGAGACTAGACATGGCCATCCTCCGGGCCGGGCCGGGCTTCGGGCCGGACCTGATCAAGCCCGAGGTAAAAAACTCAGGCCCGAGCCGCCCGTCGGGCCTAGTTTTTAGGCCCGAGCCCGGCCCGTCACAGCAAAAAAAAACACCGGGCCTCGGACCGGGCCTCTTTAGTAAATGGTAGAAAGAGCGGGCCCAGGGCCGGACCTAGTCTTCGGGCTCAAAACCTAGGCCCAGGCTCGGCCCGACCTAGTCTTCGGGCTCAAAACCTAGGCCCAGGCCCGGCCCGACCTAGTCTTCGGGCTCAAAACCTAGGCTCAGGCCCGGCCCGACCTAGTCTTCGGGCTCAAAACCTAGGCCCAGGCCCGGCTCGACCTAGTCTTCGGGCTCAAAACCTAGGCACAGGCCCGGCCCGGGAGCAGTGTCGGGCCGGGATTTTTCGTTTCGGGCCGGGCGGCCCATGGCTAGGACTAGGTGAGACGCGGTGCTCTCTTCCGGCACGCCTCTTCGTACGAGAGTAGTTAAGAGTTACTATGTGGGGTGTATACACCTCGAGTAGGGATGCTCGTAGGCGAGTGGATACATTTTTTATAAATACACATATACCTCACCCTTCTTTAACAACATTACACCAATTCAAAGCTATCATGTGAACATGACGTGACGCTGGATATCTGAGAAGGCCAATTATCAATTTCCGTCACTATTCTTTCAATGGTATGGCAGGTTAATCAATACCTAATGGTATTTAACATCCAAAAAACTGTCAAATAAAATGTGTCCCAAGCAGAAATATCACAAGTACCGCCACGCTCTGGGCCGTCATAAGAAAAACTATATCCAAAATCCTTTTTTATCCGGCATTAATTTAGAACCGCGTGCATCTAAAGTGCCCTTTACTAAAATCAATGTAGTTGTATGCAATGATTACTTGATTAGAGCATCTACAGCCGGGCGCCCCAAACCCGGACGGTCCGTCCGGTTACTGACATGTCACAAAAATCTAACCCAGACAGGTGTCTCAAACGGGGCTCAAATGTCCGGGTTAATCGACACCCCTCGTACCCAGCCCAAATATGAGGTGAATATGGGGCGATGGCCGTGCACACCGTAGAGCGTAGAGGTCGGGCGTGCGTGGATCTGATCGTCTAGAACGCATGTTGTGTTTCTAGAAATATAATCTCGGAACCATGTATCACCATTGTCAATTGGGCATTGGACAAACCAATCGAGACAAGGTGGCGTGTCATCCGGGAACAAAGCTCCCGCGCAAGATTCGGTTCCGTTCCATCGGCGCGGCGCGACCCACCGGCAGCACGGATCCATGTTGGCTGAGGCCGACGGCGCAACCGTACGTACGTGCGTGCGCCGATGACACGACGCGCCCAACAGTTCCATCCTCGACGCCTCCGCGCCGTCCGCTGGCGATCGCGCGGCCGAGAGGGCCCGGCCGTGCAGCGCAAGCCACGGCGGGCCCCGCCGCTCGCCGGGCGCCCAACCGGCAGCCCGGGCCCACCCGCTCGCGCGGCCCGCCGTGCCGCCACTGCTCCGCTTTCCGTTCCGTTTCGGGAAAGCCGACCCCTGCCCGTTTTGCGCTCCGCACCTCGTGCTTCTGCGTTATTGTGGACCAGTCCTGGCGGGGGAAGGGGGCAGGGGTGTGGGTGGAAATACGGCGCGGTGCGTGCGTCGGTGCGTAAAGCCGGGCGCCGTGACCGTTGACCGCCGGTGACCGGTGGCAGGCACCGCCCGCCCGCCCGCTCGCCTGGTCTGTCTATAACCAACCTGCCGCCTCCCCGGGCCGCACAAAGCTGGACCAGAGGCAGCAGCAGAAGACGACGACGCCGACGCGCGCGGAGCTCGAGAGAGGCTGACGACGAGGACGACGACGCCGGTGGCCATGTCGGCGGAGACGGAGCGGAGCTCCACGGAGTCGTCCGCGGCGTCCGGGCTCGACTTCGAGGACACCGCGCTCACGCTCACCCTGCGCCTGCCCGGCGACCCCGACCGCAAGCGCGGCGCCTCCTCCTCCTCCTGCTGCTCCCTCGCCGACCGCTCCTCCCTCCTCGCCGAGGCTCCGCCGGCCCCCAAGTACGCGCCACCCTCCCTCCCTCCCTCCCCCTCCGCTGTCTCTTCCCCGTAAAAAAAGGCTTTCTTTCTTGCGGCGAGCTGCGCGGGAGTTCGTTGGGCTGGGATTGACCTGACCCGGGGTTTCCCTTGTCTTTGTTTGGCTTTCTCAGGGCGCGGGTGGTGGGCTGGCCGCCGGTGAGGTCGTTCCGCAAGAACGCGCTCGAGAACGTCGCCGCCGGGTCCACCAGGGCGGCCTGCGCGCCGGCCAAGTTCGTCAAGGTGGCCGTCGACGGCGCGCCCTACCTGCGCAAGGTGAACCTGCGGGACTATGCCGGCTACGACCAGCTCCTCCGCGCGCTCCAGGGCAAGTTCTGCTCCCACTTCACCATCAGTGAGTCCCTGCCTCAATCGACCCTCCCCGCCTCCGGCCCCTGCTCATGCTTGCCGGCTTCATACTCTGACTTCTGAGCTGAGGAGAAGCATCTGTATTGGGTGTGCGCAGGGAAGTTCGCGAATGACGAGATGAAGCTGGTGGACGCGGTGAACGGGACGGAGTACGTGCCCACCTACGAGGACAAGGACGGCGACTGGATGCTCGTCGGCGACGTCCCCTGGAAGTGAGCTTCTTGCGCCATCCTCCTCTCCATTAACCTTGATTTCGTTTCTTTACTTATGCAAAGTTTGTGTCCTGTTGCCAATTTCTGCTATGTGCTTGGATGATTGTTTGGACTGGGTTCATTAATTTGTTTGTCAGGCTCTTGGACTGATCAAATTGGATATCCTTGATCTGGGTGAATTGACCAAATCATGTAGTACTTTTACAAGTGATTTTGTTAAGATTAGATTGCTTGCTTGATTGATTGGTTGATTGAGATCTGCAACGGACATGGTTGTCCTGGACTGATGCTTTACGATTTGGTTAGGAAACACCAAGGTTGCTTTGCTTGCGGTTTAGAGCAAGAGATTGATTTTTCATACATAATAATTAGATCCCCAGGAGATGTTGTTGGTTGTTGGCACTAACACAGTGCATTGCGTGGGTCTGTAGCATGAGATTTGAACAGATTAATTGCTTCCTTGATTCCGTCTGCATTTATCTAAAAATGATGTTATTGTAGCTTGTAAGAATATGGCAGACCTGAGCAAAGTGTTTTGGGAACCAACTGAATACCATTTTATTTAAAAAATTAACATAAGTGTCCTTTTATCCCCTGAAGTTAATCTGAAATTCACCTAGTGGAGCATGGATAATCGAAGCAAGCGAATATACTCTGCCTGATTTACTTGCATCTCTATTTTTGAGCTCATGTCACATCCAGAGGAATTGGCCCTGTGGGTCAGTTATAAGAATTGGATGTCTGGTTCTTTCTCGGTTATTCTTGCGCCTTGTAGTGCATTACTACTATTTATATTCACATTCTACCCTGGCACATTAAGCAAACTTTGATGTCCAGCCTCTTTCCAGTAACAGGGCAAACAATGATGCCTATCCATCAGCGTATGTCTAGCTAAAAAAGAATCCGCTTTGTAACTTTGTTAAGATATAGGCAACTAGGGATAAGGTTTCCTTTCTAGTTTTGTTCTCCACTAGTGTAATTCACTGTGACCCTTCAATAGTTTCTTGATCCTTCTAGGAAGTGTGGTTACTGCTCTGTGTGGGTTGTGGATAGTTTGGCGGTCTGGCCCTTGTCGAACTCCTTGTTATCTTTTATCTCGGTTGGATCGCAACGAACCACTCGAAACCGAGGATGACGAGAAGTGTTCTTGCCGGACTTTTGTTACACCGACACATTCCTAACTTCCTAACCTCTGGTATGCTTACTCAGGATGTTTGAGGAAGCCTGCCAACGCGTCCGCCTGATGAAGAACTCCGAGGCCGTGAACATAGGTATGCGCATGCTCGGTCGCTTTCGACACGATTTTCATGCTCCGCGCCTGTCGTCTCACGCCGTACGTGCACGATCAGCCATGTTGATTCGCTGAACTCATTTCTGTTGCTCGCAGCACCCAGAGCTGCCCGGTGAGGCATGCTACGGACGGTGCTGCCTGAAAGGAGGAGGCTTTGCTCTGCCGAGGAGATAGGAATGTGTACAGCTATCGGTTACTTACTGCTTTGGGTTTACTTGATGCTCTTGGGTCGTGAAAAGTTGTTGGTTTCATTACTCGTCTGTAGCAGCACCACTATAGTCTCTACTACTACCACATATAGAAGATGGTGATGGTGAAAGAAAGTACTGGGAGCTTGAAATATACACCTTTTTACATATAGTTTGTTGGTTTGTTTGTTTGTCTCTTGATGAATAAGACCAAACTTGCATTACTCGGTGTTCTCTGCGCACCGTCGCGAGCGAGGTTACCTGTGACACCACAGGTGTTGCCTTTGGCTTTGCCTTGGTAAATCTGAGTTTTTTTGTGTGTGTGTCAAGTGATGGTTTTTGTTTGAAGTTCATTTTATGCTAGACTGTAAGAAATGTGTCCACGTTGTTCATATATTGCTAATTTGGATGTATGGTGCATATCTGAGCTTTATCAGTGGAGTGAACATGCTGTAACCCCATGCCACTGTGCTGCCAAATGGAAATGGATCGGTCATTCAAAATGGGGCCAGAGCAGGGTGGGCCGTGTGGCACCTGACTGGCCTGGGTTGGGTCAAGATCGGATCAACCGTGTTGCGACCATGGTGGCTGGTATTATCAAAATAATTGTACTGTGCTGAAGGAATGATTGTTGTGGACTTGTGGTGCTGAACTGAAGGCCATGTTGATGCTGCTGTTGTTCCACGATCCCCTTTCCTTCCCTTTGCTTGAGGCTTGAGCTGATAAGCTCGGACGGGGGGTCGTTTTCGGCCCTTTTGCCGCCTTTCCCGCCAGTCACCTCGCTGTCTGGGGCCGCGCCGCGGTTATTCGGATCAGACCAGACCGGCTTCGGCGGGGTGGCAGGCTGGCTCCTTTCCCTTTCGCTCGCCGGAGACAACGACCCCGCCGCCCCATGTCGGGCCGCGCCGCGCCCGTCAGCGTCCTCGCCGTCTCTTCCCTTCCCCGTCAGTCAGGGAAACGGTGGACAAAACTTTCAGCTGGGCACATGCGATTGCACAGAGATCGTACGTGCTCAGACTTCAGAACCCAGGCAGGAACAGGAATCCCCAAGTTATATGCTATGGCTGCACCCATTTCCCTGCCGAGAAATTCTTGATGCTTTGCCGTGCGATGACTCGATGCTTGATTGGTCTCGGGGCAGGGGAAAAGGTTTGGGAGGAGGGCTTGGCGCTCACGCAACCCGCGGTTTCAAGGGAGCAATGATCAAAAGGGAGTTTTGGGGATGTGAAAACGAGCGCATTGTTCCATCTTAGCAAAAGCAGCCGAGCACAAAGGAGCTTGCTTGCCCTAACAATAACCACTTCTTTTTCCCCTCTAGTATGTATTCAAACAGGGCGGACAAAGTTTCTTTGAGTTTTTTTTTGCAGAAAGAAAGTTTTTTGAGTTATTTTAGTCATTTCAGGCTGGCGTTTCTTCTTCAGCCTTTTTACCAGCATTTTCCTCCGGATTTCTACAGGTTATCATGAGCCTTGCACGTTTAAGTTCATCTTAAGGCACGCCATGTTTGAACCGACACATGGGACTAGCTTGACAGAACATGCTAAGAAGGGTAAAATATGACACAAGGTTGATTAAATTGGTTTAAAAAATGTTTTTTAATTGAGTAATCTCAATAAGAAAGACAAAAGAGGGGATGAAAAAGGAAATTGCTAATGGCGCTCAAGCTCCATGGAGCGCAAAATTAAAGTAATTCAATTTTTTAGATTTCAAAAGATTCAGAAAAATTACAAACATTTTTTACCTGAAAAAAGTACAAAAATCAAGTATTTTTATTAATTAACAGGGTACAAAAAAAGTACAAATGAGCCTAACCTAGCCAACACCTTCTCTAGGGAAGTAAATCATCATATTACAAAACTATGTTTGAATCAATCCAATCTTTGAACTTGCTTGCTTACGCTGGGTTAGCTCTGATCTGAGTAGTCAAAAGACCTTCCTTAGGGCTCATTCGGTTTGGGGGAAATCAAAACGTAGGAATTAGGAGTAGTATAGGAATTTGATAGGATGGCACTTGCCAATCTAAGGATTTGACTTGCCTCGTTCCTACGCGCAAAATGAGCTTTGAGTGGATAGGTAGACAGGAAATGAATAGTATTCCTACGAAATTCCTGTACGTATTTCCTACAAACCGAATTCATCTATAGGAATTTTCCTCTGGAATCCTTGTTCCTATGTTTTTCCTATGAAAATCCTTCAAACCGAATGAGGCCTTAAGGTAGTGAATCCACCCTTGGTGGTGGGCGGGAGCAGACCTGGAGATTTTATCATTTCTAACAGCCCAAGTAGCCCAACATGCCATGATAACGATATCCAGTGCAATGTCTACTGGTAGTTCTGTGCATGCATTTTGAATCTCATCAAATACTGGCATGCCTCTATTTTTGAGTGGTGTAATGGGTTCCCAACTGTGGAGTGTGAATGAACAGTTTCAGAATAGATGAATGGAGGTTCTCTCAATGTTCTCGTTGCATAAAGCACAACCACAATTCTCCAGGTACATAGATTTTTGGTGTAGCAGATACCTGGTGTTCACTTTTTCATGAAGAATCAACTAGAAAAATATCTTATGTCTCAGTCTGCATGAGGTTTTCTAGAGCTTTGAGAATATCTGATGTGTGAACATTACCAATCAACAACTTGTACATGTTCACATGGAGGAATTGCTTCTTAGTCCATGGGTATGTCCAAAGATCAGATGCTTGCCTATTTTGCCTTTCATGCAAATAAGCTTGTAGTATATTGAACTGATCATATGCTTGTTGTGATAGTGGCCTATGAATGTGAGATTCCAACTCTTGTAAATTTGAGACCTGTTGCAAAGTGACATCTTTGGAGATGGAGAAAGAGAATAGTTTGGGGAATTTTGTTTGGAGTGGGAGCTCCCACCAGCTGTCCCACCAGAAAAGCACGGTATCTCCCCTACCAGCCTTACAAATTGCAAATTGTTTGTAGGTGGGAAGAAGTTTTAAAATATCCTTCCACTAGAAAGAGCCAACTAGTTTATCTTTAGGCTGAGATTAAGAGTAGTGGGCCTCCCATATGATCTTCACCCATGGAATGTCTTCCTTATTCAAGAATTTGTGCAAGAATTTCATTAGCAGAGCTTGATTGTGGGTGCTAATATCCAACACACCAAGGCCCCCTTGGTTTTTAGGTTTAAAAACTTTGTCACATGCAATAAGTGATGGCCCTTTCTCTTGTTCTCCATATTTTCTCCAAAAACAATGTATGAATACTGTTTTGAGTTGGTTTATCACTGATATAGGATCCCTGAGAGTGCACATGAATAGGCAGACCTGTAAACACGGATTTGATGAGAATAAGCTTACCTCCAGAAGATAACATAGTAGAACATCCCATCAATGTATTATGAACCCTTTGTAGCAGTGGCATTAAGTCCTCAATCTTAGGCTTGGGAATGCTCAGTGAAAGGCCAAGATAAGTATGGGGAGACTACCCACTTGACAACCAAAAATCCGAGATAGTGCAATCATCTTATGATCAGGGGTGTTAATGGAGATCACGACTGACTTGGCATAGTTAACTTTCAATCCAGTGTACGCCTCATAGTGTAGCAACAGGTTCTTGATGTGCTTCAGTTGTCCAAAGTCAGCTTTGACAATAAGGATAGCGTCATCTGCATATTGGATAATTGGGTAAGAGTGATGCATCAAAGGTGTTTCAATCAGTGAATTATGCATTGCTTCATCTATCATGGACTGTAACAGGTCAGCTGCAATGACAAAGATCAAAGGAGATAGAGGATCTCCTTGTCTGACCCCTTTTTGCACAGGAATTGTTTGCCAGGGACACCATTTAACAACACTGATGACAAACCACTTCCATATACCATCTTGATCCATCCATCCATTTAGAACCAAAGCCTCTAGCATGCATGATCTTGATGATATTGTCATGATTAAGAATGTCAAATGCCTTTTTTTAGAGTATGCCAAAGGTGTACCATATTTTTATAGAAGGCAGAAAACAATAACAAGAAACTACCACTCACTGCAAACAACAAAGTGTAGTACATATTCCACACCAGAGCTAATCTGAAGAAAAGCCTATGCATACATTACAAACACAATGCAAAGGAACTTACCCTGACTAGAACATCAAAGCCGCGTCTCAACCAGCACCGATAATCTCGAAGAGCAATAACTTTACCTTCTCAAAATCAAGTTTAAGAAGAATGAGTTCTTTCTTAGACTGGTTAGACTGGTGAATATATTCATAGGACCGGGGAAGACAGTCCTGGATACACATGTTGTTGAGAAAGTCATATTGGTATTTTTGCACAATGTTGAGAATGATTTTCTGCAATCTATTGGCCAGAAATTTAGTAATGATCTTCATAGTACAGTTGAGCAATGAGACTGGTCTGAAGTCTCTAGGAGTGACAACAATATCTTTCTTCGGAATGATGTTATGAAGGAGCAGTTTATGATTTGCAAATTTACTGTACCATTGAAAAAAATCCTCAATTAATCTGTAAAAATCCTAATCAATAATGCTCCAGCATGCCTTGGGAAAAGTTGCATTAAATCCATCAGGTCCATGTGCTTTATCAGATGGTAGACCACATCATCAATCTCTTCCCTAGTAAAAGGTGCTTCCAGTGCCTCCAGATTATCATGACGAGACAACAAGTTATGGTGTAGGAGTGGGTTTGAAGTTGGGGAGTTAGTCCCCATTATGCTTTTGAAAGCCCTGAACATAATTGCAGCTTTGGTATTTGTGATCATTGTGCTCAAAACCCTGTTCATAAGCACATCAATCTGATTGCTTCTGATTTTAATAGTTGCCTTGGCATAGAAGTATTTGGTGTTAGCTTCACCCACCTTGATGTTTCTGATAGTGGCTCTTTGCTTCCATTAAATTCTCCGATGGCTGAGAAGTTTGCATAACTGGTCTTTAAGAATATT